AAATTGTCAACAAAAATGAAAATTTTTTTTACAATAGTTGATAGAATTGGTTGCATTTGCTAAAAAAAAAAGGTGGAAAATATTTTCCCAACTAATAGATGGGAAAACAAAATCAAGTTTTTGTGCATCAAATGATTGTACCTAGAAAAAGGTGGAAACGTTTTCCATGAAAAAATTTACCTATCAAACAGTTTTTTAAGGGTGGAAAAGAAAAATATTTTTTTTTTCCATGAAAAACTAAGGCTATAAAATGGAGCCTGAGCATATTTAGCTTCCAAACAAATCATGCCGTTAATAAATATACAGTTTATCCCATGTTTCTCTACTTGTAAGCTATTCTTTCTAATCAATTAATTAATGCGTACGAGTACTACTGTCATTGTAAGACTTTTGAAACTACTTAATTAAGATAAATAAAAACTGCAAAGTCTTTAATGATTTTGAGGCAGCAAATTGTTAATTATAATTATTAATGACTTATTAATTGTTAGTTTCTTACACAAAATTTTATTATTTGCTGTCTCTCTCTCTCTCTCTCTCTATATACACACACACCACTCACTTTCTAACATGCAGCAGCATTCCCTCAAGGGGCTTTAATCAAAGAAAGTATCTAGCGCACGCGCGCACATATACTATGGATTCAAGGAAGTCGAACAAGATTAGGGAGATAGTGAGACTTCAACAAATCCTCAAGAAGTGGAAGAAGCTTGCCAATAACAACAAGACGAGCTCCCTGTCGGGGCCCACCTCTGTTACTTTAGGCAATGGTGGGAGTAAGAGCATAAAGTTTCTAAAGAAAACACTTTCCTTCACGGAAAGCTCGATTTCTTCTTCTTCATCATCATCGTCAACCACCGACCAGGTCCCGAAAGGGTATCTTGCAGTCTGCGTGGGGAAAGAGCTCAAGAGATTCGTAATCCCGATGGAGTATCTTGGACACCAAGCCTTTGGGGTTTTGCTGAGGGAAGCCGAAGAAGAATTCGGGTTTCAACAACAAGGAGTGCTAAAGATTCCATGTGAAGTCGAATTGTTTGAGAAAATATTGAAGTTGGTGGAAGATAAAAGAGATGTATTCTTCTTTATTAATGATCATATAATTGATCATGCTGATACCATGATGAGCTGTTATTCACCAGATTGTGACCTAACTTCACCATCTCATCACACTCAGATGTGCAGATGATGATTTTCTGCTAATAATTTAGGCGTTCTGTTTTGTCAAGGCACGTGTATTATTAATGGAGAGGAGATTTGGCTAGATTTTTAAGGATTTTTTTTTTTTTTTTGTGAAAGGGAGTGAATTTGTATTTCTCATTTACATGTATGTTCAAATTTCTGTCAAACATGAGCTATCTAGATACTTATAGGTGAAGCTTCAATTTAGTTATCAAACTTCATTTTCTCATGGCTGCAAATGGGCTATATTTTATTGTGTACCCAAGATAAGTAACTAAAAATCATATTTTTAGTAAAGTTGTGAATTCCATAAAATGTCAACTTAGATTTTTAGTACGCAGTACAATTGTAATAAGTAACGTTATATTACAATTTTTCTATTTATATATAAATTTTATTCGTACATTTAATTTTAAATTTTTTTGCCCCCTCATACCCTTCGTTCCTAGCTCCGCTCCTGATGTATGTTGTTCAAATTTCTGTCAAACATGAGCTATCTAGCTACTTATAGGTGAAGCTTCAATTTAGTTATCAAACTCCATTTTCTCATGGCTGCAAGTGGGCAAAGATTCTCCCGTTAGTCGAGAAATCAAGGTAGGACTGGCCAAAAGCCTTTAACAGAACGAGGAACATGATCCCTTTTTGAACATGCCTTGAATCTTATTATTATTTGATGTGTTGCCATCCTTAAATATTTATCTAAATTTTGTGTGCATTCTTTAATATAGTCTGAGCTTAAATACAATTAAATTTACAAGTTCATGAACAAAACGGACAAAAAAAAAAGTTTAGTTATGTCTAAAATAAAACATCAGTATAAATTATGATTTATGTAAATTCAACAACTATTAATGTGCATTTGAGGAAAGAAATTAATTAAATTTTTCGTACATATATAGTACACATGAAGGTTGAGTAATTTAATGTAAACAAATTACATTGGAGGGAAGATCATGTGCTCACCAGTTCCGTAATTGTATCGTTATCACGTGACATGTGCCTAACAAAGTGGTAATCATTATAATTAAATCCAAGTTTTACATCAAAAACAAAAATTAAAATGTTTAATATATTTGCATATGTGTCCTTCCACCTTTGAGTTATACACCAATAACAACGTCGCAACTATTAACCATAATTAATATTAATTAACGCAAGAGCGAAGTTAGGACTGATACTGTTGTTCCGGATAACAAACACCTCAATTATTTCAAACGGACCAAAGCCGAACTCTCATTGGACTTTTCTTGGCCCAACCCTGGGTGAGCTGGGATGAGAAGTGCCAAAACATTCACAGAGTTTATGAAAAGTCATGATGTTTGGATGAAGAATTAAGCTCCTTGTACAGATGAAATGTACAAAAAACATTATAAATAATGAGATTGCAACATTGCATTGTTCGGTTTAACTTTGTGTGTATTGTCCAACATACAATGAAATCTTGTCAGGCAATCTGTTAAAAACTAACAAACATTTTTGTGCGGGAAAGATTAATCCTATCCAATATATAAAGCATTTACGCAAATCAGAAAATATCATTCTATTCCTCTAATTTTCACAAGTAAATCCCTCTTAATTATGTAAAAGTTCTTGTATTACTATTTGTGCCCAACTTCGAAGATAAAGATAGGATTTCTATTATGTTTCATCCTACGAGGCTTCCAAAACGAACCACGTGGAAGTCAGCTAAGAAGCCACCTAAGGCTCACACTTAACACCTCTTACTTAAATTGGCCAAATTGAGACCATTAAAAGACGAAGCCAAAGTGATGGAGATATAACCTCAGCTAAGGTGAGATGGAGACATAACCTCCATCATCGAGGCCCTAATTCTAAAGTGATAAAACCTTTGATTCCACAAGGCATTTTCATTGCTTTGCTTCATCCAAGAGATCCCCCGTACGAGATCTCTCTTACAACTTGTTGACTTGTATTCGTGCGAATTCCATAAGTGTACGGGATCGTTGACAAGTAATAAAATCGATGAGTTAAGAATTATCGTTTCATAGAGAATAAATTCAATTTAAGTTTACCAGATTTTTATGGAATTCAAATTATGTAAACAAAAGACATTCGATTTTTATAGTTATTCAAAATTAATCTAAGAAAACTATAAAATTTTGGTTTTTATCAAATTATAGATAATTGTATTGGATTTTGAATCCGCCTATTGTTATCTATTTCAATTCTTAATTTGTAATCTAGTTCCTTTCATGTGTTCTTGACAATTGATAGAGATATGATATATAATTTTCTTTTCCAAAACAAATTAAATCTATCATAATCATGACCCGAATCTATTCCTAACTCGAATTCGAATAATTAGAATGTATTAAATTTTAGATAATCTATATGATTGCGCACGTGATAAATATTATTCATAACATTTATTTCACATAAGTTAATTTTGTTGCGTTCTAAATTTATTATGAGTATATCAACAACAAGTAACTAATTATCTAATTGATAACCACATAATTAAATAATGCAATGCAATGAGTATGTAAAATTAATCAAAAAACACAAGAAATAAACTAAACTACTAGTCTTGAATTAAAACAAATAAGCAATAGAGTTCATTTTCATCTAATACAAAAACGGATCTAGCCTAGTATGTTTTTAAATAAATTATAATCAGAATAATAGGAAAATATAACTCGGATTGTGAAATAATTCAAAAGATGTTGATTTTCAAGTCTAAGGTTAAATTATTCAAAATCTTGATATAATTGACCTCCAATTGCTTGCTAGGGCTTGATCTCATAACTCAAAATATTGCAATTGACACATTTTTCTTGATGAATTTGATGATATTATTATGTATGAAGGGGTAAGATAGGGTTCTTTCAATGCATAGTCCTTGTTTTAATTTATAAGTGCCAGAAAATAGGTCAAAATCCCATATAATTTTGGTTCTAAAAGAGTTTGAATCGAGAAAGGAAAATGTTGATTCATTTGTAGAAAAAGCCTGCGCGCTCATGCATAACTACTGCGTGCGCGCCATTGATCCAAATGACTCTCGAATTATTGATATTTTTTTGGATCATCCAGTCCTAATTTTTTTGTAAATAGATAGTGATATCATATTAAGNACAATTTCTAAGAATGGTCTCCCTAAAATTAATGACATGTGTTGAGCATCTATATGAAGGATGGTGAAATTAGCATGAAATAAGTTGTATCCAACTTTAATGAGCATATCCTCTACCACTCCATAAGGATGTTTGGGTGTCCTCTAAACCAATTGTAGAATTATTGATGTTCATTTCGAATCATCCAATCCTAATTCCCTCTAGATAGACAGTAGCATCAAGTTAATACGTGCTCCAGAATCAATTAAAGCAATTACATCATGTGAATTTCCTATAGAGCAAGGTATAGTGAAACTCATTGAATCTTTTAGTTTAAGAGGAAGCATCTTCTTTATAATTGCACTGCACTATTCAGTCCATGCTACTGTTTCATCTTCTGACATCTTTATCTTCTTGGTCAACATCTCCTTCAAAAACTTTATATAATTTGGAATCTGATGAATTGTGCCAATGAAAGGTGTGAAGTTTTTTTTCAGGGCATTCAAGAACTTCATGAATTGCTTCTCCACCTTATTATTATGCAACCTTTGAATGAATGTGATATGATGTGTATGTTTATTAACATGAATAGTTACCTTAACCTGTGGACTATCTGCTTCTTGACTAACTTTTGCTGATCGTTCAACGTATCCACTTGTTCCTCGCCCCATGGTAGGTACCTGACTCTTCTCTATCCCTTTCTTTTTCACAGTACTTTCTGGCAGTTTAATTTCACTTCTAGTTGTAATGGCCTAGACCTGTTCCTCTTTAGGCTATCTGTAAAGCCTTTAATGAAATGGAATAGGAAGAACAAAAGCTCAAAGAAAGTTAGCAAGCTTGATTTATGGTGTCTCTATAATTGCATGATTCACAGCTTCAACTGATAATAACTATTTTGTGAGTTCTTTTTTGTGTCGCTTGACAGGTATCATGTGTTCTATTGGGCAATGTCGCTGTTAACTGTCTCACTTGATTCTCCAAATCTTGGATAGATGCTTACATGTTTTGGATTGTAGTCTCAATCTCAGTCACATACATTGTAAATAAATCCTCCAAAGATGACCTCTTCTCCTGTTGTTGCTGAAATTATTGTGGTTTGCCCTAAATTTGATATACATGTCTTTGATTATTAGCTCATGAGAAGTTACGATGCTTGTTCCAACCTGAATTATAGGTGTTGGAGTAAGGATTATGTTGCTGCTTTTGAAAGTTCTATGCATACCTAACTTTCTCGGTCTAATAAACATAGGTAGAGGATAAAGGACAGTTTGCAGTTATATGATCTACCCCACAGCCCGGCAGACTGGGGCTGATTGGTGCACCATGCTCACATTTTGAGTTTGTTTGTCCAATTTCTTTGTTAGTAGTTCCATCTGGAATGTTAATGCTATTACTACATCTATGCTATGAATACTAACTTTCCTCGGAGTTTTCCTTTCAGATGGTCACACAGACTGATTTTTCGTAATTCTCTAAAAAAGATCTAATGCATTGTCTACAGAAATAGTCATCACTCATCCTTTTGCTAAAGCATCGACCATGTTACAGTATTCAGGATTAAAGCCTAAATAAAAAGATGCAGACGTAGGCATTTTTAGGAATATCTAGATTTGGACACTTTCTGAAGTAGTCCTTAAACCTGTTCCATACTTCTGGATAGCTCTCGAGTTTCTTCTGCTTGAAAATATGTAATTCATTTCTGATGTGATGGACTCGAGATGGCAGGAAGAATTTCAAGACAAATTTTTGTACCATGTCATTCCACGAAAATGATACTTCCAGGACATAGTGACTGTGGCCATTCTCATGCACCTTCCTTTAATGTATGAGGGAATAAGTGCAATCGAAAAGCGTCAAACATGGGCCTTCGTAACTGATTTCCTTGCAGAGCATCAAGACTGTTTGAATATGTTCATATGGATTTTCAGTTGGTCTT